ACGAACTGGCACTGCTCTGCCACATCGCACAGTAATAGTCAGCCTCGTCTTCTGCCTGGCTGTCGCTGATGGCTAAATATCCAATGTTCCCAGACACAGAAGCCGTGAATCGATCTGGGAACCCGGCACCCCGGCCTCCAGCAGAATACTGCACATAGCGAGGGACCTGCCCAGTTTTTTGCTGGTACCAATAAATATTATTCACACGTCCACTGACCGTGCAGGAGATGTTTGCTGTTTCTCCCAGAGACACAGACAGGGAGGCTGGCTGAATCCATGGTGGCTGTGAATTGACTCCTTTGGAAAGAGCAGAAGAAGACTGACATATATAATTTCTGGAGTTGGAAAACACCAGCCAGGTAAAACATGCCTTTGAGAAGTACACGATCAACATTTATTTATTTATTTAACAGAATTTCCATCCACTTTTACTGACCGGTTGATGGCCTTTTTGATCTCTACCACACCCTTACCTGAGCAGTAAGTGAGACAGGCAAGGAAGACCAACGGCCAGGCCATCTTGAGCTTTGAAGAGGAGTGGGGTGCCTGGAAGGAGCTGGGGGGAACCATCTTCCCCCTTCTTAAATTCTCTGCCAAGGGAGACCATGCAAATATTTCCATCCCTTTCTTGTTGAGGTCACCACACCTTTCCTACGGGGAGCCAATGAGCAGAGAGCACATTTGCATAAGGAGGATGCTGACCAGGGAAAAGAGAAGGTGTTGGCTTGTAAGGTTTCCTTCAATTCTTCATCAGGGGAAGACACTATTGACATAGGTCACCAATGCAGAACTCTCAAATTCTTCCTTAATTTTCTCATGACTCCAGCATTGAAACAAAGCCTGCTCGTCTGAGCAATCATCCATGATAGAAGTGGGACTCCCACTGAAAAAAAACTTGCTTGTTCTTCAGGTATCTCAGTGTTTGGCAACCTGGAGCCTTGCAGCTGCTTTGGAGTCAACCATAAACCCCAATTCAAAGTCCAAACATTTAAGTGCTGGGTGTCAAATGATCTATATCAGGTCTCCCTACCACTTCACCACAGCCCTGTTTCCAGAGGTGGGAAAATGGGTTATTTCTGTCCCTTCAGTACGGTGCTGACTGGTCTTTTTTTAGAGAAGAGATGGAGAAGGCCTCCAATCTCAAGCACTGATCAGTTTTGAAATTATTGCTTGTCCCATGCACTAGGATACACATACATGTGAACGAAGTTATCTTTTTTGTAATGGGAAATGAACATAGACTCTGTCTTCAGAGAGGAATTTGCAATTTATATGGAAACTCATAATACAGTTTTAGATGACTGATGCCAAGATTTTGGCTACCTTGCTCCACAGACGCTGGATGGTTTTGGACTCTAAGGGTCAGCCTGTAGATGAAGCATATCTCTTGATCCTTGTCTTTATTATAAACAGTCTCAGTCACACATCAGGTCAGGCTTTGTCATGACTTGTGCGTTCCTGTGCTGGGGAGGATGAGGGGCAGTTTTTGTCTCAGTTCCCCATCAGAACATACCACCGTGTAACGAGCTGGCACTGCTGTGCCACATTAAACAGTAATAAGAAGCCTCATCTTCGGCCTGGGTGCTGCTGATGGTTAAATGGCCAATGTTTCCCGAGACAGAAGCCGTGAACCGATCGGGGATCCCGTCACCCCTGTTTCCACCAGCATAGTGCACGTAGCGAAGGGCCTCCCCAGATTTCTCTTGGTACCATGAAATAGTATTCACACTTCCAGTGACCGTGAAGGATATTTTTGCTGTTTGTCCCAGAGACACAGACAGGGAGGCTGGCTGAACCCATGGTGGCTGTGAATTGACCCCTTGGAGAAGAGAAAGCAACACACATTTGATTCATTTTCTATACTTTCAAAGTGCCACCAAAATATAATGCGTCTTGAAGTGCTGATCTGGGTGCTTTAGTTCAGTGCTTTCAGGAAGAAGAAAAACATCGTGTGGATTTCATTTTCTATTCTCCAAAATGCTACCAATGCACCATGTTTCTATAACTAACGCTCTGTATGTTTGCAGTTGGGGGGGAGAGAAAGAGGAGTGCATTGTTATCCCCTTCTCTGCACACTTACCTGAGTAGTAATTTAGAAAGGCAAAGAGAAATAGGGACCAGAACATGGTAGAGGATGTAGAGCAACTAGTTTAGGCAGATGAAAAGAAAATTAGGATGACAGCTGTGGTGGAAGCTGCTTCTTCTTCTTCTTCTTCTTCTTCCTCCTCCTCCTCTCTTAAATCCTCTCAGAATGCACCAATGACGTCCATGCAAATATTTTGATTTCTGTTGACTCGGAGACCCATGCACCCCACCTTCTTAGAAACAGCCAATAAGTAGAGGACAAATTTGCATAAGCAAGATTTCTGTAAATGTTGAGGAGAGAAAAGCCTTGGTCCATGGCAGAAAAGAGAACCGGGACTAGCATCACCCCACTGGCAACAATCCAAAGGTCCACACAGAAGAACTACAGGTTCAATTGTGCTTCCCAAGAGGAGGATCTAAGCGTTCAAAAATATTGACATTAGTGATCGTTTTGACTATCGGGCAGGACTTGCCAACGTTAAATGGGCAAGTTATTTGATATGAAACATCCAAGAATAAATCAAAAAAGGGGAAATAAGAAAAAAAACATCAACATTTCATAAGTGCATTGCTGAACTTAAGGTAAATGTGCACCATATAGGAACATAAGATTGGCTGATAACATTCCCCACATTCTTTTCACTCTGATTTATATTTTTAAGAAGTGCCCTGTTGGGAAAGCAATATGCTTGGCCTCGATGATGGATTCTGCCCCATTAGACTCACAAGGGAGATTGCAACAACTCTCCCAAAGTGCTAGATTTAAAATAAGACAGAGCACTCTAGAGTGACTTGGCATCTAGGTTATCTGGGAAAGGCCTTGTTCAACCTAGGTGCACTCTTTGCAGTTCTAGCCCCTCCTTCTAACTCATAGATCAGGAAATGAAACCTGGACTTTGTGCAACTCTGCACCTGCCTGTCCAACAAGGTAGAACAGACTGAGAAACCAGCGCCATTTAGATCAGGACCGGTTTTATTGGAACATCTATGGTAACAGAATTTTGCAAGTCTGAATGTGCTTCCCCCTGCCTCATTTTATCTTTGGGTGAACTAGGGAGGGGCTCATCTGAGGGGTTTTTTCACGTCATTTTCTTGGCCTGGGCCCAAGCCCCTCTTCTCTGACCACTGCTTGGTGGCAGCTCTTCTTCCTGCCCTTCAAGGCCACTCCCTCCACCCTCTGCAGCACCAGATGAAACTCAAGACCTCACTCCCGTGTCATCTCTTCATTTCCAAGAATATAGCCCCCTATATCCGTGTGACTCCAGGGAGAAGGCCCAAGGGCAGAAGACAAATTTGCAGAAAGAGAATGCTAAAGCCCTTCCTTTGATCCAAGGAGGCATTTCTTGCTGTGACCAGGATCAACAGGGATATCACCGGAGAACTGACCATTCCTTTAAACTCATGCACGATTGGGGATGGCGGTTGGAAAGAAATTTGTAACCAGAATCAGTAGGCAGGCAAGAACATTCTTTATCTCACCCCAGTTAATGGGACTAAAAATTATGACTTGATATACTTCCTGTGTTTCCTAATTTTCCTCTCCTGTTTCTTTTTCCATGGATGTTTTGTTAGAGAGAAGAAAGGACATTTTTCGCTACTACTAATTCTAAGAAGCTCAGTACTGTGAGAAAAATAAGTAACTAACTTCAAGTGAAGCACTGTGGCAGAGCCCAGACATACCCCATGTTTTTGGCAGAGGAAGGTCTGCATGGGTACAGAAACCGAAAGCAACCTTGAAAGGTGGCCAAGCAGATTGCACGTTGCCACACCCTCCAGAGAATGGGTAAAGGTAGGTTGTGACAAAGCTAAGACAGGCTGATAGTTTCCCCCTAATGGTGAATGCTGAGGTCTCCAGTGACACACAGGCTAAGTGCAAAGAAGTTCACTATTTCCAAATCTCAAGAAGGTGCAAGGTAGATGCTAAGATTAAATACCTCCTGCAAACGGCTTTCAGAAGTTTATTTATTGTAGAATTTGTCATTTCAGACCTGGATCTCATGATCTGCAGTATTAAATATGCAAGAGGAAGGTGGGTGGAAGTTCTAAAAGAGGGATCAGTCTGTCCACATAACTGTGGTGGCCTAACAATATTTAAAAGTAATAAAAGGTGGTGAAAAAAAGAAAAGTGCCTCCACAAATGCTCAACTGCTGTCAAAATGTTGTTGAGCAATACTCACTGCACACTTGTGCATCCATGAGGATGGGAAACGTCATTCTACTCGTGAAGGTTAGTTGCCATCACTCAACTTCAAGAGAAATTAATGGAGCTGTAACTGGTGCCTTCTTGGAGAAGACATTTGCTTTCTCCAACAACATGAAGTAGCACCACCATTCCTTAAAGTTTATTTCTAGACTAGGTCCAACTGTTTTGGTTTTTTAATTCTGGCCACTCCGTTGCTCTTTATCTTCATTCTTTCATCCTACTGCATCTATTTCTATAAAGTGACTGACACTCATTCAGTAACAAAAGGAAACCAATCTCATACGTATCAAGCCTGTTCAATTCCCAGCAGGAAATCAGAGCAGAGTGGAGAACCACAGGCCTTCCTGTTGGGCTGGTGATGAAGTGATTTGCATCTACCATGAACCTCCATAGTGGCTGGCTGACTTCATAGTGGCTGTGAATTGGCTCCTTGGAAAAGAGCAGAACAAAACATATATATTTTCTATAGTCTACCAATAGAGACCATGCAAATGTTCCAATCCCTTTGTTGTTGAGGTCACCGCACCTTTCCTGTGGGGAGCCAATGAACAGAGAGCACATTTGCATAAGGAGGATGCTGAACAGTGAAAAGAGAAAGTCGTTTCCTTAGACCAAGATGGAAAGGAAAGACAGGAAGCATGGTATCTCTGGTTGCAATGCAAGCTACCCAGGACAGCCAGCTGCTGCCCTACCAGATATAGTTATGATGGGATGAAAGGAGAAATCCATGGGCAGAGATTACTTCTTTCTTGCAGGTCCTGCAACCAGACGCAGCCTTTTGGAAGAGGGAGGAGAGATTGTTCTGTAATGTAGTGAAGGCCTTGAATCTGGAGAAAGTGCTGGAGATGAGAGAAGCACTTTTCACGGTCTTCATTCCAGCTTGTGGCACCAGGCACCTTCATGAAGACTGTTTTTACATCTTACATCACAATCACGTGATTCTCAAGGTCTATCCTAGGTTATGTGTTCTCCATGGTAATTCTCTAGCCACTTCCAGGGGCCACCAGCTATATACCCACCGCTTGTAACACTTATGTTACATTAAGACATTCTAGCTTAAGACAAACCATTCCTTATCATCATGTGAAAGCCAACCATTGTCCATCCCCATTTCAGAAATGACCCCTTCTCCTCAAGGTATGCATGTGAAAAAGAGCTTTATTCAAAAATAGAAAGTTGAACATTTATGCATACAGACAGCCTTTGCTCTTTTTCCCCATCAGCCACTATTATCTAAATTTTTGATGATTTCAAACTTGGTGTTTTGGGTTTTTCCCCCTAGAAAAAGTTTATTTTTGAAAATTTGATTGCTCTCCAGATTCAAGGCAAATCATCTCAAGTAGCTTGAACTACCAAAGATGAACAGAAAAAACATTCCGATAAATTACTGCAGTGGGCTTGAAGAGTTTGATAAAGTTTCAAAAGTTTGAAAGAAACATCCAGGGAAGATCATTCCATTTCAAGATTTCTTGTATTCAATCCTTTCTACTTTCACATCGTCCCCAATGAGTTGGTACACATATGTAACAACTACGGAGGATTGAATGTCCATCAGAACAAACGAAGGAATTATATTTCTGGAAAGAAGAAACATTTGTAATTGAAGTAGGAAGCAGTTTCCCCAAAATTTGCAATATTTGTTCATTTAAAAAAACCAGCCTTAACAAAAGAAAGTTTGGACCTCTATCACACATATGCTGAACTATGACATGCTGTACTGGTTCTGGATTAACAAGTGGCCAAAAAAATTACATTTGCCCTGGATTTTTGAAATGTTCTATGATATACAATTAAAAAATAGGAAGGTAGGGCTTTGTTTTTATCTTTTTCCAATTGCAATCCCCTGGAGAAAAAAATGAAAGGTTGGCAGAGAAGAGTATCAGATTTAGTGGGGGTGAACATGCTTTTTTGCTTTTCCACACAGATGATCCCAATGGTATACATCCATGAATGCAAAGAGGCATAATTAAGTCATCCTCTGGTCCAAAGAACAATTTCCCAATCATATTGTTAAAAGTTCCCACTGTATTTATTCAGAGGAAGGGCAGTTTCACATGCTCTTCCCTTATTTTAGAAAACTGTATTTTGCCTTCTATTATGGTATATGGGAAGTCCCTGGGAGATGGGGCAAAGAGACGCTGCCAAGGGAATGGTCAGATAAGAGGCGGCATAGCCCGCAGCTGGATAGCAGGTGGGGCAAGAGGCTCAGAAGGGACCCTCCCTAGTTTCTCAGGCTGTAAAGGAGATGACAGGACAATTGTACTTCCAGACTTGCAAGATTGATGTCAGCCTTACTAGGTAGACCAGACAGGAAACACGACCAGATAAGCTAATTCTATTTTATAGTAAGTCTACATTAACAGAATCTTGGACGTCTGAAAATGCAGGTCTCCCATCTCCTTTACTCCTGAGAAATCAGGGGGGGTCTCTTCTGAGCCTCTTGCCCCACCCACTATCCAGCTGTGGGCTATGCCATCTCTTATCTGACTGTTCCTTTGGCAGTGTCTCTGTGCCCAGTCTCCCAAGGTCTTTCTCACATACCATTACATCCTGCCTGGGTCTTCTCCAATTTCCCATGCCTGAGCATGCACCCAACAACCAGCAGTGAAAAGATAAGCTCTCCAGAAATAAATCCCTTGAAATGTTTTGCTCCCACCTTTCCAGAGCATTGTAGGCTCCCGTGGCTGAACCAGGGTTGATATAGAAGTTCTTCTCATGTTCCACTGCCTCAAACCTATGAGTGTGTCCAGATATTAAGATGTCCACATCCAACTGCCTCTGCAGGATCGCCAAGCTGGCCAGATCCCCCCAGGGTATAACCTGATGGCCATGGATTAGACCAATCCTGAACTGTCCAACGGTGACAATTTTCTGCTGTGGATAACTCATGCCCTGGCAAACAACAATGTCAGTTATTAGCTAAGTACTTAAGCACAGTGCTTATACTGAAATACAGGCTGATCAGTTTCATCTGAGCATTTATTTTGAAGTCAACCACTGTGGCTTATAAACCAAAGCTTATGTTTCAGCTGACTGCATGGATGCATCCATTGTCATCACTTCTCATATGAAGGCAACCATTGTGACTCAAACCATCATTTACAGCTTAGCAAACCCAGTTACTATGAGTGCTTTAAAACATAGTAGAAAAAGCAAAGCTTGCTTTCACACCATGTAGATTCGTCCACTGTGGCTCACCATTTTGCAGTGTAAATGAACCCCCAAATGATGCCTTGCTCAATCAAGCACAGCTAGAACAAACCATGGCTTAGATTACAAATATGGACTTTGGGAGTGAGAGCTACTTATGGCTCCCAAAACTCTGCATGCAGCAGTCAAACTCTTTTCAAGTTTCCCATGGAATTCTAATTTTAAGGTGGCAATGGAAAGTTCTCAATGCTGATCATATCATAAAAGCTGCCATTAATTTTAATTTACAGTGAATGAAATTAAGTTGATTTTTAGCCTGGGCCCACTTCCTCTTGGGATAGCAACTCTTAGCTCAACACTCCAAGACTAAAGTGGTTTTAAATTGGAGGAAGATTAAGCATTCCTAATGCAGTAGTATCAGTAGAACTTCCAAGCTTGGATGGAAGAGGTGGTCCTTAATCAGCCACCTTCTCCAAACTCCTACCTCATCAAAGTCCCCTCGAACAACATGAACATCCCCTGCCAGTGTCCTCAGGTAATCATAGCTCTCCTTGGTGCAAAGATTTCCAGTACAGAGAATATGTTGAATCTTGCCTGGCACTAGCAACTTTTTGAACTTGGCTGGAAGGCTACTGCATCGGTGCGGGATGTGAAGATCTCCTAACACCAGCACCAGCTGAAGGAGAAAGTGGGACAGAATCACAACAGAGTCAAAGGCAACATTAATCAGTCATCGTTTGCTCCAACCCCCAAACTTAATCCACCTCTAAATTCATGTTCTGTGGTGGAGGAGGACAGCAGAAACTGAGAACGTTTCGAAGAGGTTAGGTGTATTATAACAATGCTGAGATATTGCTGGCTGTAGGAAGAATAAAGTAGATTCAACATTTGTTAAAAATAAATAGATAATGTATCCTAGAAGAGCCTTCAGGGAAACACTTCTTCTAAGCTGGCCCAAATCACAAGTGTTCTTAAAAGAACCATGTGATCACATTTTTAAACATTAACAGAGCTGATTAATTTACCAGGATCATATTTTTCACAGTTAAAGCTAAGCTCATTGCTTTGACTGTTAAAGACTACACTCTTGGCTTGGGACAATTAACCAAGTGGAACATGGTGGAGATAAGGAAAACTCTATCCTAATTTTTCAAGCTAGGATTTATTCTCTTAAGACTGCCAAAAAGACTTGGAAAACCCTGTAATTTAGAATTAAAATGGACTCCTTTCCTTTTAGCTTTAATTGGAATAATGCACTGCCAAAGATTTGAAGTTGAGAACTGTAAGAGGATAAAAGGAGATACTAGAAGAATAAATACTGTTCCTTTGTGTTATCTTTAAGACACCTCAAAAGACAAACCTCAAGTATTCTTCACAAATACCACTTTTAATGAAAAGGCTCATTTTCAGCACCTGCCTTGAAATTACCTGGATTTTTTTTCCCCTGCTACAAATTCACATTCGGCATTGATCTAATACATTGTTCTAATGCACGATTGCTCTGTCAAGCCTTATCTTTTTTGTCACCCATTTCTGAAACATATGACTCAAGAAGAATAGAAGCCACCGAAATCTTGAGAGCCCGTCAGAAGATAAGAAAAGGAACAGACACAATCTTAGCTCCTTTTAAGGGGAGTCACGTTCTCAGCATCTGCCATACCAGAAGATTCTACACATTTCTGACTCAGAAAGCTTGCTCTGGAATCTGCACAGCTGTGCACTCCAGTGCTTGTTCAGAAAACCTAGCCCCAGACACACAAACCATTATAATTCAAGTGCATCTAAGCTTACACAGAGGGCACATCTTCAGCTGCAAGTATAGCCCACCGCCAGACAGATTTGGAAGCAAGATTTCAAGACTGTGGGACAATATTCACAACATTTCCTTTTTAGCTAAGAAACACTGTATCTGAGGTGCAATAGGTAGAGAGGTAGATGATTCCTCAGTACATCCTGCTCTGTATTTCATTGCATATGTTCAGAAACCCGTGTTTAAAAAGATGAACTCCCACACATATACACATGGAGGGTCTCCAAGGCAGAGCACCACCCCTCCCTCAACCTCAGCTTAGATTCAAAACTCTACCTAGAATCACAACTCAAGCAGACTTGCTTCCAGAGGGAAAATGGGTCGCTCTAAATTAATCAGCACAATGCAAAAGACACCTTGAATACCCTTCTCCTCTACTCACCATCCTGCCGAAGGTCTGACTCCACTCTGGTTTAGCAAAGCAAACACACTAAAGCAGGAATTCAAGTTGCCAAAGCTGTTACACATCTGCTGAGTTACCAGGAAAAAAAGCCACTCCCCTTACAGGCTTTTTATATATATATATTTAATTTGGAGACCCCAATCCTGAAAGCACAGGCATTCTTTTAAAGAAACAGTCTAGCTTGAGTTCCAGAATCCACTGTAAAATCTATCATGTGATGAGGAACCTTTGGATGCCCAGATGTTGTATTTCTATCCCATCTTTCATTAAGGAGCTCAAGGTAGTATACATGGTGCCAAAGCAATCTTAGTATCATGAAGCATTAAAAAAATGATTAAGGTTAAGGTTTGATCACACAGTTATGGCCACCACCTTGAACCTTTTTTCACACACACACACACACCCATGGATGTGCCCAGTGGGAAGTGACCTCATCACTGTGCTATCTCCTTGTTGTTGTTGTTTGTGTATATGACTAGTTATGTGCACTGTGGCAACCATTTTGTGACAGAGCTTGCAAAAAAGCTCTCCAGAGCTTCAAACGTGCCCCACAGCTAAAAAACATGGATTACGTCTGATGTAAAAAATCAAGAATCGGGGAGCACCTAATCCAACTAACATGTTTCATTAAAAGACAAAAGCTTTCAGGAACTGCAGCTCACTTCATCAGAAGGTGAAGTTGTGCTTATGCCTTTTAATAAAATGTGTGTTGGGAAAGCTTCTACCGCTGATTTTTGCCACCATAGACTAACCCAGCTCTTCTCCTATGACATCTGTAAGGAGCACTCAAGTTCTGGCATCCAGTACTGTGAAAAATGAATGTCCTCCCTGGAATCTGTGAAAAGCTGCACGTGCGACAGACCAAGCTACTGTTAAAACTGGTCACCTTTGTGTTATGTGTGTGTGTGTGCGTGTATGGGGGTTGGCTTTGCTTTCTGCTCAGTTGACAGCCTTGGGGATGAATGAAAGTGGGCCTTTATCGTACTGTGTCCTGTTAAAAATACTGGATTTCTTTTTAAGTTGATAGGAACTATTATAACAATGTTAGGAGGCAAGAGTGGGGGCTGCAAAGTGCCCCTAAGTCTCCACCAATTGCTTCTCTGGGAAATCCTCCACACTGAACCATGATTTGCTTTCAAGGAGGGAAACTGTCCTATTACAAATCTTCCCCAGCCCCCAACCCTGTTTCACTGTGAACGAATTGCACAGCTTTGAATGCATTGAATAAGCCAAAGGCCAACAAGATAACATTCTTTCCTTCACCACTTATGGGGCTAATTCAGGGACAAAACAGAAGTGTTGCCTTCTTGTCAAGGCCAAGAATGCAGGAATCCTGTAAATCAATTACTTCTTTTCTAGCGTGCCTATTGAAGCTGCAAAGGAGAAGTTTTTGTTTCACTTCCCTTTGAGACTGCATCACTGTGGCCAGCCAACCGCTGTCGTAAGATGAACAATAATAATCAGCTGAATCTTCTGCCTGGACATTGTTGATGGTTAAGGTGGCAGAAGACCCATCTGTAAAACCTGAGAATCGCTCTGGAATTCCAGGGGGTCTCTTGTTGTGCTGATAGATCAACAACTTGGGCAAAGTGTTGGGTTTCTGTTGGTACCAGGAGACATGATACTTATTGATATTTGCACTGTTCCTTGTGCAGGAGATCACAGCTCTTCCTCCAGGGGCTACTGTCAAGGAGGCTGGCTGGGTCAATACAAACTGGCCCCAGGCTCCTGAGAAAACATGAAGGATAGAGGAGAACCAAGAACAGTGAGACTTTTGTTCCATCAAAGCAGAATCTCCCCTACAATGCAGAGGATCTATTTTTTAGGAATGCCCAAAATGGGGGGGGGGGGGGGTTTTTTTTTTTTACCTGCACAGTAAGAAAAAAGAAACAAAAGGACAGACATCTGTGCCATGGTAGAGAAAAGATGTGTATTTATTGCAACAAAGCTTTCTCTCTTTCTTGCATCTCTTCTTAAAGCCCTGAATGAGGGAGAATACAAATACATGCAAATGATATTCCTTTTTTTACTGTTGCCTGACTGTTCATGTCTCCTTAGATTATAAAGAGAATAGCATTGCTAAAGGAGGATGAGACCTTGTAGGCAAAGCCCCACAACTTAGTTCTCGCGTGAAAGGCCAAGAAGTTCACTCCCCACAAAGAGAGGGAGGGGCCCAGATAAAAGCTAC